TCAAAGGTCTTGAAAGAAACAGCCTGATTTCTCCAGCAGAAGAACAAAGCCAAATACTGGAGTCAAGCAAAGGAATGTGAAGAGCCCTGGGTACAACACACTTCGAAGGAAAGGCAGAGAATGTAGAAGAGGGCTTGGAGTGGGGAAGCTGAGCTCACTGCATCCCAGTCAGACAACATCATGCAGGAAACAGATTTACAGCAAACCACAAAAGGGTACAGCAACAGTAGAATTAACTACCCTGCATCTGGGACATGCCAGGACACAGGGCTGCCCCTTGCAGGCTAGGAGTGAGGTGTTTCTACTCATTGTCTTCATAGCACTTCCCAAGTCAAGACCCTGGGTTCTTGCATGGTCAATATTCAAAATTCAGAAAAGGAGTCAGCAAAATCTTCTTCCCAAAGATTACCTATCCTCTCGAGTCCCCAGCAAACAAAGTAAAACAAAGTTTGGGCCAAAGCCTGCCTCAGCATCATGTCCTTGCCTCCCTTGTCCTTAGCAGCTCCACTGCAGAAGACCTGATGAATTGACCCTAAGCTAACCTAGCCTTTCCAGATATCACATCCAGTCCCGTTCCTAACTGGAGATAGGCTTGAGTTTCCTACTTTGGGGGACTAAATGTGTTAGTAGGGTTAAACAGAGTTATAATTTGACTCACATATAATTCCCATAGATAATTTTGTCTAAGTGCACAGACTTCTGGACTTGGCCATAAATGAATATAGGGAGGCATGGTAGTTGTATAGAAGTCCTGGTGTTGATATAATATCCGACTTGATGTAATATCCCTATCAGGTCATGTCTGGGACAAGCTGTAGTTTGGGAGTAAAATTGGACTACAACCTAAGAGTAAAGTTGGACTAGCAAAACCAGCTGTTTCTTCCATAGGCCAAGTCAGACTGACCAAAACAAGGTTCATCCTCATTCACGGTCCTTGACTTTGCACTTCCCTCTCCCAGTACACCCATCATTACAAACAACGTTATAATTTTCTGTGGGAACAGTATAGCAGATCTGCTACTCCCATCAATGGCAATGGAAGAGGTGGACATTTCTGCAACCAGGCTTTCCAAAGCTTAACTACAGATGTGGCTGCCTATTTTGAGCCAACCTCACTAAAATTTTGGCCAGGACCTCCATTCATTACTGTGCCCCCAGAGTTGTTCAACAAGGACTCCATGGGAAGAGTTCCCTCTCCCTGAATCACTGATTGTGCCTCCCCCCTGCACTGCTCAGATGCTCCCACTCTTAAAGAACAAGGTGCTCCCTTGTGAGGCTCTAACAAGGCCACAAAAGACCATTTGTGCATGTGAAGGAATTCAGTGCTGAGGAAGGCATGAGATTGAGCTGGAAGTCATCAGTTCATCAGTGTTGCCAACCCTCACCATTTTATTCCAACTCTTATAGCTAGGGTTTTTCTTAAAGCCCTAGCTCCTAGTATCAAGACAGGACTTGAGAATTTCATTTTATAGACCTCAACAACAGAAGGCAAAGAAAAAGACCTCAACATGGATTATTTAACAAAATATCTTGTGATTTTAAGCCAGACACAATTTTGCATCCTGAGGATTACCTAGAATGAGTTACCCCACAAAGAGAACAGTCGCCCTCCACCATCCAACCTGTGCGTTTCACTGGCAAAAGGTGTTTAGATTCCCACGTCCCCTGAAAGTCCTTGGCTTCTCTATTGAGACTGCCAGCAAGAAGACCAGTTAGGATCCACTCTGATGACAACAGGAGCTAGCTAGAAATGGCAAGCTCATTTCATGCTAGCTTCTAACCAGCCTTTAGAGTTTAGACTGAAACAACTTTCAGACACTGATGATCCAGGTCATACATGAGGAGTTGTCCTAGCGGCAAAGGCTTTGTATTCCAATACCAGCTGCTGTGCCTGCTAAAATCATTTGAATCTGAATTCCTACTATGTAATAATAACCCATTATACTTCTACAGAAATTTTCATGCCATGGTTGGTCCTCAAGCCTTTATAAAAACTGAATTACATGAACCTTCGATGAGGCAAAAGCAGCATTTTGTTGAAATGCAGCCATCTCTGGTGCAGAACATGATAGACTACTACTTAACAGTTAAGGACAAGAAATGACAGAAGGGGAAATTTTGATACCTTAGACAGAATATAATTCTCTCCACTGGAATTTGGCAAGGACACAGGGACTTGCAAAAAAAAAGCACAATCAGCTCTTGAATAACCACACACCATCAAGAACTGGGTTTTCTCTCATCTGGAACACAGTACCTTCAGAAACACAGCGCCCCACAACAGCCCATTGAGTCAACACTGAGGCCTGACCCAGAGAGAAGACAGCCGCGCTGACTTGCCAACACCGCTTCCTGCAGCACCCAGATGTTCCTGAGAGCTCACCCTCCCCAGCACAGTTGCTCTAACATTCCCTTCACTTATGAAAGCTTGCAGGACCACAGCACAAGGCAGCATTTGCAAGCTGGCATAAAGCTGCTCTTTATTGGTTTATGCCAATTGGTTCTGCTCTGTGCGTGGAGCAGAACCAATCCGGCTTGCCTCCAGCTGCCCCTTCTCCACCCTGGCCTGCTGCTCCAATTAATCCTTCTGGGTGCCTTTGAAAAATCAGCTTTCACAAAGTTCCACAGCACAAAGTTTTTTCTGGACCACAGTCAAGCTGCCTGACCCCTAGATCAGGACTGCCGGCTGCTGTGAACCAATACCCCGTGATCTCATATCCTTGCTTGTGAACAGGCCAGAGCTAGAGCCAGCATCCCGCCCCCCGCAGACTCCCAGACTCATCTGCTTTCCCCACGAAGAATTCTGCTTACAAAGGAAAGCAACTCTTGCCTACTAGCTCCACAGATCTCTTGCTGTGGGGTTACCAGCTGGTCCTGGCAGACCACTGGGTTTGGGATAGTTAAACTGTTTTGCTAACTGTAATCTTCCATGTCCTAGCTTCCCTTCTAAGTTCATCCCATAGTTCCAGTCAGATCAAGACAGGAGATTTACAGCTCAGCAAATAACACTGAGTCCCCCTCCTCCCTGCCCCCAGTATTAGGCTTGGTTTCACAAGTATTAACCCTCAGGGCACTGCCACCCACCTCCATCCCCTATCCCTATAATCTGACTCATAGGTTTCCTTAGGGGTACATAACAATTGGGTCTTTCATTTCAGGATCACACAGCTCTGCACACTACACAGCCAACAGGATTATATAAGAGGAAAAGATTTGACTTTTCCCCCACACATTGTTCCTTGAGACACACTATGGAAATGGGTTTAGCTGTAACTTACCTATATACACCCCCCCACCTTTTTTTTTTAAAATAAAGTCTAAGAACTCAGCCTTGCTTTCCTGGCACAGTTCCAACTGGGGTAATCCTCTCTGAATGCCCCCAGCAGTTTCCACTGGATAGGTGATTCTTGCTTTTTCCTGTCTTGAACAGCTGTGCAGGGCTACTGTACACTGCTGTAAATAGGTCCTCCCTCCCCAGCAACAGCTGCATTTCAGTGGCACATGAAATTCATATCCTCAGTTCCTTCCATGTTTGCACAATAATGCTAGCATGTTCTGTTTGTTTTAAAGTTGGTTATATTGGTGTGTTGTTTTAGATCATTTGAATAAGTAAGCACATGAAAGATTTTGTAAGTAACTCAGATTACTGTGAATTTTCACTTGGCACTATCCAGAGCGACATGTGTTATAACATGCACATTATTACATGGATGTCATGTATGTATGTCATACATGCTTCTTGTATAATAGAAGAGACCTGCTGGAGTATCTAGTCCAGCTCTCTGCCAGTGCATACATCAATCATCCTCATCATCAAGGAGAAGACTGTATTGTAAGACCTACCCTCTGTGAAGCTGATGTTGCTTCAAGAGCTTTTCAGCTCTGTGTAGCCTGAATTTGTCAAGAGAAACCAGCTGGGAACACAGTGTTAACACAGATAGGGGTCAGGGCAGTGGGGACGGCAGAGGATGCATTTATTCTTTTCCCAGCTAACTTGCAAATACAGACTCTGCCTGTTGAGGTCTCGGTTGCCTCTTTCATCCTCCAGCCCTATTTTAAGACAACAGCTCCATTCCTTTCCTCATCTCAGACTAACCATTTCAAAACCCAGACCCTCTGACCTCATTGCAGGCACCCTGTCTGACCCACCATATGCTTGTACAAATCTAGGGAGGAGGGCATTATGTGGAAAGAGAGATTAACAGGCAAAGATGGGGAAATAATTAGCTCAGTGCCCCCCTCCAAAAGTTCCCCAGATATCTCTCCTCCATCTATCAATTCATCCCCTCTGTCCTTACTCAGCATAGTGATTAAAGGATGAGAAGGGACATACGCATGAATCAGGGAGGGCCAGATGGGACATTCCCAGTTCCCCCCACAGGCCCTCTCCTGCCGGCACTGCCTCCACTGCCTTAGATTTCAGCAGAAGTCCACAGTCTCAGGACCTGGAAGGGATCGACTCTAAGCAAGGGATTGACTGGCCAGCCTGGAGCCTTTCATGCTTGCTGTCTCCCTAACCTGGCCTCACAGTTGGAGATCAGAGTTAGTCCTGTCTCTTCGCAATCCTCAACCAGCCTGAGAGCCCTGAGTGACACCCCCATGCCACCCCATACACATACACCGAAGCTCTCCCCACCCAGCAGTCAGCCTGCAAGAATCATGTAGACATCAAAGTGATCTCCTGGGTATTCATTCATTGTGAATAGGGCAAGAGCTGCACTTCCACAAGATACAAGACTTACACATTCCCTGCCCCTAGAGGATGGGCACAGGGTAGCTTTTGCTTTAGTCTTGCCAGCCAAAAAAAAAAAAAAAAAAGGGGGGGGGAAAATA